AGTGTACTCCGTGTACTGTGACAGAATCTTCTGTTTATAAAGTGCTTTAAATTGGTGAATATTTTGACATTGTTTGTGTTCAAGCCCCAAAATATTCCATAGTTTAACCCCACATACAGACACACAGAAACTCCTCCTAGTGGTTCTGACCATTGGTATTGAAAAGTTCCCATAGTAACTCAAACTATACAATTGCTCTCACTGTGTGAATAACTTTTGTATGTTAGCAGGTAATAGGTTGTGAAATGCTTTAAATATAAGTTGTGCCGTGTTGATTTTAACAAGGTCCTGTATTTTTAATAACTTTGATTTGAGAAAAAGTGGGTTTGTGTGTTCAAGATATTCAGCCTTGTGTATGATACGCATAGCCCTTTTTTGTAAGATAACGAGTGACTGTATTGAATTATTGTAATTATTTCCCAATACTTCAACACAGTAAGTTAAGTACGGTAGAATCAGGGAACAATACAGGGTATGGAGTGTATCATGATCGAGGACATATTTGGCTTTATTTATTATTGCAAGACTTCTAGAGACTTTGGTTTCTATGTGTCTGATGTGAGATTTCCAAGTTAGTTTATTATCTATAGTAACCCCTAAGAATTTTGTTTCAGAGATATTTTCAATCTGTATCCCATCTATCTCAATCATCCTTTCCATTTTTGTTTTATAATTACCAAATAGTATAGCTTTAGTTTTAATTAAGTTTAAAGATAATTTATTACTATCTATCCATTTTTTTATTTTCCTTAATTCGGTATTTACAGTATTAATGAGTGTATCAGAATTGTCATCACAATAGAATATATTGGTGTCATCTGCAAACAATGCACACTTAAGTAACTGTGAAACATTAAATATATCATTAATATACAAGTTGAATAGTTTGGGGCCCAATACTGACCCCTGAGAGACACCACAAGAAATGACACAACAATTAGATGAGGACTCACCCATCTGTACATACTGTATTCTGTCGCTTAAATAGCTCTTTACCCATTTACCAGCCATCCCTCGTATCCCATAACTTTCAAGCTTCCTTAATAGTATTGCAGTGATTGATAGTATCAAAGGCTTTTTTCAGATCAGTGCATATACCAATGGTGAATTTTTTTATTATTGTCTCGTGTCAGTTTAGCCCTCCTATCACTGATTCCACTCCAGAAACCATTCTGCTAGTGTGGTGGCCGCGGTTACATGGGAGATCGAGGACACCATACAGGATTATATGCGACAGGACCCCGATCCAGGGACTGGGCCACCAGATAGATTATACGTCCCCCAAACAGCACGGGCCCAGACCCTCAACTGGGCCCATGCATCCAGGCTTACATGCCATCCGGGGATACAAAGGATCATAACACTGCTCAAACACTACTTCTGGTTGCCTACCCTGGAGAAGAATGTGCGTGCCTATGTCACCGCCTGTGCCCCATGCGCACAGGCAAAACCTCTTCACCAGCACCCCGCAGGTCTCCTTCGGCCCCTCCCGACTTCGAGTCGGCCTTGGTCTCACATTGCCCTCGACTCTGTCACCGGGCTACCTCCTTCCCAGGGCAACACTGTCATCCTAAACATCGTAGACCATTTCTACAAAGCTGCCCATTTTTTTGCTCTTCCCCAGTTACCGACCGCCTTTGACACCGCCCAGCTCCTGGTTCAGCATGTCTTCTGTTTACATGGTATACCCCTTAACATTGTCTCAGATCACGGTCCCCAGTTCAATTCACATGTCTGGTCAGCCTTCTGCACTGCCATTGGCGCACACCCCAGTTTGTCCTCCGGTTACCACCCACAGACTAACAGTCGAACGACTGAACCAGGAGCTGGAAAACGCTCTTTGTTGCGTCACCAGCTCGTCTCCTGAGGATTGGAGCCAGCTGTTGCCTTGGGTGGAGTATGCCCATAACACACTCTCCAGTTCTGCCACTGGCATCTCTCCCTTTCCGGCTTCCCTCAGGTATCAACCTCCCCTTCTGTCTTCCGCCAAAATCGATATAGCCGTACCTTCCGTCCAAGCTCACATCAACCATTGTCATGAGGTGTGGGCAGAGACCAGGGCCGCGCTCGCTCGTGCAACTGATCAGAATAAGCGCCTAGCTGACCGCCGTTGTCGGGCCGCTCCTACGTACCAGGTTGGGCAACAGGTATGGCTCTCCTCTGCACACATCCCCCTTAAAGGTGCTTGCCCTAAATTGTCTCCCCAGTTCCTGGGGCTCTTCCCGATCCAGGAAATCATACATGTGACGGCTGTCAAACTCACTCTGCCCGACTCCTTACATCCCGTCTTCCATGTGTCTCAAATCAAGCCCGTCAGTACCAGTCCCCTCTGTCTTCCTCCTGCGCCACCACCGCCTGCACTCACAGTGGATGGTGTCTGGTGTACATGGTCTGTCAGATCCTGGATGTGCGCCCCAGGGGCCGGGGATTCCAATGCCTGGTAGATTGGGAGGGGTATGGTCCAGAGCAACGCTCCTGGATGCCCCAGTCCTTCATCCTCAGCCCGGACCTCCTCACTGACTTTTACCGGGCTCACCCCGACAAAGCGGGGGGGGCACGGTGGAATTAGTTTTTGTCTTTTAGGATAAAACGTCATCTACAAGGCAGTGTCTCAGTAGCTGTATAAGACCACTTCAGGTCCATTTAGAAATGTAACAAATGGTTTCTTGGTCTGGCTATTTTAATGAGCTCTCATCTTAAATTACGGAAGGACATCATCCAACACAAGCTATAAATGTGTCCGTAGGCTTTTGCAGTATCCATTGTTTGTTGATAAAATACTAATTACTTTTTCTTTTTATTTACTTTATTCACTTTTGCTCCAAGCCAGTTACTGTGAGATGAAGATGTTCTGTACTGTCTGTGTGCCATCAGACAGCATTAGCTGCTGTAATTAAAGAATCTTGATCTCTCCAAGTAAAACTCATCTACATCACCAAACCACACATCCTTACACACACACACACACACAGGTGTCTGTTTTGTGGGTCCGTTCTCCAGCTGACAGCATTGGTGCTGTTATTTATTTCAGAAGGTAGTAAAAAGTGTGTGCATCAGTGCATGTAAGACAGTTGTGTGCTTTCCACTCATCCGAAGCACAGCAGTGCACTCAGTCCATTTCCAGTCTTCTCAACTAAAACACAAATTATTGCTTTATAGTGAGACCTGCTCATTTCACTTATAGCTTTCAGGGTTGCAGACACCACTCAATTACTCAGTGAGGAGAAATTGTCTGTCTTTCTCCTTAAATTGTGTATAGGGAGAAAAACAAAACTGTGATGAGGGATTATTGGTACTGTACTTGGACTGAGGAAAAAGAGAGAAACATGCATTAAAATTGTGAACACGTTGACCATCGTACTGTCAGTTTAATAGGGAAGATGTACAGTATTTTGTGTTTTTGGAAAAAGGAAACTTGAGTTTTTTAACAAGAGGTGGAAATGCAGTCCAGCAAATCATACCTCGACCCAATGCAGTTATATGCAGCATTTTTATAATAAGTAGCAATGGAGGCTCTTTTATTGTTTCCTAATCCTGTATGTGTGCATGTGTTCACCAGTGCCCAAACAGAGATGAGGAAATCACAACTGATGGCTATAGTTCTCCCTTCAGTAACCTGGGAGTTGGCTGCTAGATTTACAGTCAGTGTACCAACATTTACTCTAATGCCTTCAGAATGACAGACCTAATATGAGCCACTTTTTATTAGTGGAGTAAAGAGACAATCAGACACATGGGTTTCAATGTGCTCTCACCAGGCACCGATAAACACCTGCAACACCCGCACCTCCTACCTCATGCGCATCACACATTATCTTTGACTTTATCAAATTCTTAGACACATGTGCACACAAAGATGTTAGTGTAATTACCCAGCATGACCAGGGAGGTTGAAAGGTCTGACAAGTCCCATGGGAAGTGTTCATCCCTAGTGATACTGTAACTTAAGTAAACATTTGCACACATACTCACACACAGTAGCAAACACTTGGATGGATAAACACAGGCTAATTAGCCATCTAGTGCAAAGTAGCAAAGTTAAAACACAAGTGTGTTGCCCACCAAGTAGTTACAGTATATATTAACAGTGTCATATTGGCTCAATTTAATGTCACATTAGTAAATATAATAAATAGGAATTTCTACATGCAGTTTGAATTTCCAGCATACCCAGAAATACCACAAATTAATGATTCATGTACCCCGTGTCTGTGTGTGTATTCTCTTACTTTGGATTTTGGCATGTCACAGAAAAACATTTCAGTAGTTTTATCAAAGTAAAACTTGTGGCCAATTTTCAGTAAAGCATACTTAAGGTAAGCTAAGCTAACCATGTGATGGCTGTAGCCTTGTATACAGTATATCATAAAGACATGTAAGTGGTAAAGTCTTCTCATCTAACTCTGTCAAATGGTGAGTCATTCCCAAAATGTCAAACTATTCCTTTAAAAAAAACATCATATTGTCCCCTGACAATTCCATCTAATATCATTCATAATATCATTATTACTGAGTACGTTTATGAAACTCGAGGAATTTTGTTTCATAGTGATGGTTTCTTTCTTCACTGCAATCACATTTTATCCAGCATGTTGAGCTGATATAAAGATTAGGAAATATGGACACACACACACACACACCATCAGCTGATTTGACAAGAATACACACCTGCCCAGAGAGACAAACTCAGTGCTGTCTGTTACATCTTTCTGGTAATTGATACAGTAAAGCATCTTTTTAGCCATATTGGTTTTCAAAGACTTTTGCCTCTACGTTCAGCTGTGCTGCCAGGCACCTATAACTAGGCTTGCTTAATGTTTCCTACATTTCAATCCATTAGGTTTTTTTTTTTTTTTTTTTAGTGTTGTCTCATCTGTTGAGTGGCTCCAGTGATGTGTCGCTGTTCGCTGACCAACCCGTTCCTGTTCTTATGTGACCAGTCTATCCTGCTTCCTGCTTAATTGTTGCTGACCTCCGGTTTTTTGAACATTGATTGACAGGTGTGAAAAGTGGCCTGGATAGTGCTGTAGTCACTGTTGTTGTTGTCAAGGAAACCAAGAGTCCTGTCCCGTTGCCATGGGGAAACAGAACAGCAAGCTGCGGCCAGAGATGCTGCAGGACCTCCGAGAGAATACCGAGTTCTCCGACCATGAACTGCAGGAGTGGTACAAGGTATGTACACAAAGGTTGGAGACTTTTGAGTAGTACCAAGTTATAGTAATGGAACTACTGCTACAAATTCAGTAGTGGAAAATGGTACTATTCAAATAATTGGTTACATATCACTTTCATTACATTCCAGTGAGGAAATGTTGCACTACACTGCATTTGTCTGACAGCAGCAACTGATACTTTGCAAACAAAATATATGGTCACCATATAAAATAAGACCCATTGTTATAAATTTATTTACCCAGCAGTTTATAAAGTAGTGAAAATTAGTTACACTTTAACCAGCTATGACAATTAAATGCTTTTTATATGTAAATACCACAGAATTGATAATGCAGGACAGTATACTGTATAGTAATATAACAGTGCATAATAAGTACTTTTAATTTGGAATTACTAAACTTTTTTTTATATTGGTTATGTACAGTTCAAGTCAGAGGTTTACATACACTTAGGCTGAATTCATAAAAACAGAACCACTCCACAGATGTCATGTTAAACTATTTTTAGAAAGTCGGTTAGGATGTACTTTATGCACGACACAAGTAAGTTTTCCAACAGTTGTGTACAGATAGATTTTTCACTTATAATTCATTATATCACATTTCCAGTGACTCAGAAGTTTACATACACTCAGTTGACTGGGCCTTTAAACAGCTTGAAAAAAATTCCAGAAGATGATGTCATGGCTTTAGAAGCTTCTGATAGACTAATCCACATCATTTAAGTCAATAGGAGGTGCACGTGTGAATGTATTTTAAGTCTTACCTTCAAACTCAATACCTCTTTGTTTGACATCATGGGAAAATCAAAACAAATCAGCTAAGACCTCAGGAAAAAAAAACACTTGCAGACCTCCACAAGTCTGGTTCATCCTTGGGAGCAATTTCCAAAAGCCTGGATGTGCCACATTCACCTGTACAAATAATACTACACAATGAGACAACGCAGCCATCATACCACTCAGGAAGGAGACGCGTCCCATGTCCTAGAGATGAGCATAATTTGGTCCAAACAGTACAAATCAATCCCAGAACCACAGCAAAGGACCTGGTGAAAACACAGGTACCAAAGTGTATATCCACAGTAAAACAAGTCCTATATTGACATGACCTGAAAGGCTGCTCAGCAAGGAAGAAGCCACCGGTCCCAGGCTGCCATAAAAAGGCAGACTACAGTTTGCAGCTGCACATGGGGACAAAGCTCTTACTTTCTGGAGAAATGTCCACTGGTTTGATGAAACAAAAGTTGAACTATTTGGCCATAATGACAGTGCTCCTATACAAGAATGAATCTGTCAGGGAGTTCCTTCCTCTGTAAAGTTATGTTTCAGCAGTAACACCAACAGCAGTTGAACGTGATAGTGTTTGTCTCCCTCAAAGATAGAGCACCACTTGCTCCCAGCCTGTTAATCTACTAGGAAGACCTGATTAAATCATGTCCCACAGTGAGTGCATGAATTATCTCATTTTATGTGCATGGATGTGTGTTTGTGTAATGGTTATATGGCTTTGTGCATTAATTAGGCCTATGGAACAGCAGTGTGAGCTTTTCGCTGAGCAAAAATTTAACCTGACATGACTTTTAACTCCCTTTTCTCCATACTCACTATGCTGCTTTATCAAATGTGACTTATTGAAAAAAGATACGACTGTTTTCAGCTATTCAAGCTATTTTCAGCTATTTTCCAGCTGGAAAAGGAGCTCAGTCTGTTCAGAATGGAGTATTACATGAATGAAACATTTAATGGTCAAAGTTATGTTGTAAAAATTTGATTCAAGATTGTTTCAACTGGCTTTGAATTTGGGTCACTTATCATGAGTGCCTGCTGATGTAAAACCTCTATCACAGAACTGTACTGTATTGCCCAGGAGACTGAAACAGAGCATTAAAAGGCTGATTTTCACCCTGGTCTCATCTCACGTTGTCTCTTTTATTTTCCTCAGGGTTTCTTGAAGGATTGCCCCAGTGGAACCCTGAATGTGGAGGAATTCAAGAAGATATATGCTAATTTCTTCCCCTATGGTGATGCCTCCAAGTTTGCTGAACACGTCTTCCGAACTTTTGACACGAATGGCGATGGGACGATAGACTTCCGGGAGTTCATCATTGCCTTGAGTGTGACATCACGAGGAAAGCTCGAACAGAAGCTGAAATGGGCCTTCAGCATGTATGACCTGGATGGAAACGGGTACATCAGCCGTGAGGAGATGCTTGAGATTGTACAGGTGAGCAAGGGACACTGGGTAATAGGTTGAGACATTTGAACTATAAAAAGGATATGGGAAATTTTTTAATTTTGAAAAGGTTTGAGTATGATTGCAACTTACATACTGGAGGACAATATGGTGCTACAAAGTACTTTGTACCACCAATCTCACACTTGAACAGCAGTGGAAACCATTTTTGCAACAGACTCAGGGCCAATTTAGCAAGTTAGTGTTGAACTTCCATTAAGCTAGGGACTCATAATACAGATGCTAGTGGCTCTGTGAAGCTGTACTTTGGCACAGCTGAGCCCTGATCTAAAGGCCAATGGAAATGGTAACATGCTGATGTGTACCATATGAACCACCTTACTTTAGCATATTAGCTTGCTAGAGTTGTTAGGATTTATTTTATTAGGGGTGTGGATCTTTGTACAAAGTTTCATGGACATTCATTTTATTGTCGAGATATTTTAAATTGGACCACAGCGGTGGATCACATAACCCATAACTTTCTCTCAAACTTCAGGGGCCAGAATAAAAAGAAAACAAACATTCTCTTTCTGAGTTTGTCATGGGCTATGTAAAAATCACACCAGGCATGCAGAGAGAGGACCCAAACGCAGGCTCAGACAGGCAGATTAAGCTAAACAATTTATTAGTAAGGGAAAAATACAAAACTTACTATGAGTTCAGGCTGACAGAGCAGAGCAGCATGAAGATCCATACACAGTGTGAGTTCAAAAAGAGGTCAGATGGAGGCAGACAGTCCAGACTGAGCAATAAATCCAGGTAACAAAGCAAGTGGCATAGTTCGGGGGCAGACAAGGTTCAAACATGAGGCAATATACAAGCACTAGGAAATAAATTAAGCAAAAGCTGCAAGGAAGCACATCAGTCTAGCAATGAACAAATGAAACAGAAAAACATTTGTACTGAGGGAGCTAATGAGGGGAGTGAAGACAGGCGTGGTGGGTGTGGCGCTCAGGACTGAACAACTAGGAAATGGGTGGCAGGAACGAGCTAGAGGGCAAGTCCAGGTAAAGTGGAGACTGGATGAGGACTAACAGTCCATAGAAAAGATCAGAAGAAACAAGGCTATTTTAATCAATCCAGCGGTCTACACTGGCAGTTTATAACTTGCATCTTATTTACACTATATGCTCTTAAAGGCAACGCAAAGCTTAGTTTTACACTTCAAGTTTTTTTTTCTTGCATTTATGTGTAAGTACAGTGGTTGTGTATTGGGCTCTGACCTACACTCAGTAATATGCCTGAATGCCTCCTGTGTGGACACACATGGTGCACCGGAGCAGCTGCTGCTCTGCCACACCCTCTGTGTAGACACCAACCCTAACTCTGCTTTTGATAAACACATATAGTGCAGGTGATAACATCACAGGCTTAAAGTACACAGTTGGCTTCATCAGGAGGTTAAATACTGTATGGTTTTTCTGCAGCATTTTCATTGTGCCCACTACTGTTCATTTTATTTGAACCAGCCAATCACATAGACTGCTGCATGGACAGAAATAGACAGAGTTGATAAAAGCTTACTTCAATTATGTAAGTTAATAAGTTTGTTTAAGTGTGGGAGACTCAAGTACTAACAATGCAAAGGTTCCAAGAGGCATACTTAAGATGCTGACTGCAGTATTGGCACAGGCAACATCTTGCATAAAGACTGTTAAGTACAGTCCTACATCAGTGCTGCATGTAAGCCTTCCACTGTCAAAGACAAGAAATAGGCAGACTCATGTTGAGATGCTGGACTGCAGATCTTGCTGTATGGTCTGTGTGTCTGTGTGTGTGCGTGTGCTTCGGGGTTTTCATGGATTAGCAAGTTATATTTAACCGGAGTTTATCCCTGAGTGTGCAGAATACTGGGATTATCCACAAGCTCAGTGAGGTTACACACCGCTGGATAGGAAAGGAGGGGCTCATTGTGTTATTGTGCACTGAAAGACAGCATGAGATTGTCATGATAAAGGAAGCCAGATTTGTCTTTTTATGACATTGTCAGAGGCTGTTTTACAACTTTTTTTTTTTAAGTTTAAACAAGCTATTGACTAACAACCTGTTCTTCTTGATTAAAAATAGTACAGGAAAAAAGAAATATATGCCACAATTAAAATAATGTTTGGAAATGTGAAAATTTGCAATCAGAAAAGAAAAAGATTTCCCCAAAACAGAGGTGTTAACCAGGTTCACAGAGTTACATCAGCCACGTTTGATAAATATAAATGAATCAGAAAATCATTAGAACAATTAGATCTTCACATTGGTACTTGACTAAACACTTACAGTAAATCAAGGCCCACTTGACTTAAGAGGTTACTGTCTTTTTACACAGCTTTAAATAGCATCTAACAGACTGCTTCATCTAATGGAGTTTGTTCGGTGTTTAAAGAACTTGTTCAGCACTTTGGAAAATATGTTGGATATCATTTGTGCACAGTTTTCACCAGGCCTTGTACAGTATAAGTCAATAAGCTTAAGTCTCTTTACAGGCACGATGGTACCACACCTGGTGCTCTCATTGTACTGACAAGACCCTAGACAGTCTTTATTGTCCCATTAGATATTAATTAATAGAAGTGCTCTGTTTGCAGATAACCTATCCCCCAACCCCCACCCACCACCATCACCATTTAAGAACAGCAACAAACAAAGAATAAAAATGTGAAAGCCTCTTTGTGCTTTTAGTATTCATTTTCTTCCTCTGTCAAGACACACCCAGCTATTCTCCAGATTTAGGAGGAAGACATAAACCCCCGCTGTAGTCTAAGAGATAAAATTTTAAAGCTGGTATGTCTTTCCAAAAAAAAGCACAGAGGGCTTATTTCATGCAAACTACCTTCACTCCCAAGTGTGCTGCAGTGACACTGATCTGCAATCGGTTTTACACCCTGTACTCCCAATGGAGCAGATTTAATAGGCACGTAAGCTGATTGTACATCCATGCCTGAGGCCAGCTGATACTCTGCACTTGTCCGTGCTCACTTGCAGAGGTTAATTTAATGCTATCAGTAAACGGGAGGCACTCGTATCAGTCAGCACCTAAAGATGTATCAGACCAATACAGTAAGCTCCCCACCCCCGCCCTGCTGGCACATGCCCTGTTACTGTGGGGTGATGGTGCAGTCCCACAGGCACACAGACCCTGCATAGATATTTATGGAATAGCTTGGCAGAGAGCATCATCAGGAGTATCAAATGTCGATGAATGACAAGGGCATTTTTAAAAAGCTTATTTATCAGCAGCTTGAAAACTATTGAGACTTTAATCTTCAGTTGTGTTTTAGTTCTCTCCTGCTCAGTCTCCTTAATGGGTCCCCACTGGCTTGAATTCACTTATCGTTCTTTTCTGCCACTCCCACCCACTGTCTCTCCTCCTTTGTCTCTCTCTCTCCCTCTCTCACTCTGCTGCTCTCTCTCATAGGCCATCTACAAGATGGTGTCATCTGTGATGAAGATGCCAGAGGATGAATCAACGCCAGAGAAGAGGACAGATAAGATCTTCAGGCAAATGGACCTCAATAATGATGGTGAGAGGAGGAAATGGCCACACTGAGGCATGAATATTCTGTAGAGGAGCAGCAGACGACCATGACAGTTTATATAAGATCATTTTTGAATTGTGTTCATTTTTATGGGAGGAATTTTGGTTAAATTTGGAATTTACACTAGCTACATCATTATTTTAATTTCCATGACATGGCCCATCCCTCATGGGATTACAAGACAGTGCTATACTACATATCTGACATCAAAAATATAAAATGCATCTTCTGGGAACACACATACAAAACCAGATGGAAACAGTTTTATACTGTAGAAACTTTAAAATAACATACTTAAAGGATAAATTTGTTTCTAACATGCTGTATTTCACCCAAAAGTGAGAATGGTGACCTTATAGACTGTACTAATTTCACTATCACTGGCTTCATTGCAGAGATTTGGGGAACTGAAAAGTCATGTTCACTGGCGTCACCGAGACAACCAGTCAGCCTCAGAGAGCGCTCAGAATAAACATGATTTCAGTCAAATCATTTCTCACATTTATCTCTGTGTCAGAAGTAAGGTAAATACAACATATAGCCATCTGACATTACAGCTAATGGCATAGGATAATCACCTGATCAGCTGGTCATTAAATCAGCCAGCAAGTTGAGTTGATATGTGCCTGTGTAGTTAGCTGTAATGGCTACCCCAGACATCAGCCCAAATTTTGCATTTGCTTTCCTTCTGACTCAGAGATAGGTGTGAAAAGTGATTTGACTGAAATCATTTTTATTCTCAGGCTAACCGGTTGCCCCGGAGATGCCGTTGAACGTGACTTTTCGTTTCTCCCAAATCTCTACAACAGAGGCAGTGATATAGAAATTAGCCCTAGTTATAGAGTCACCATACTCCCCTTAAGGCAAAATACAGTTAAATTCAAATAACTTGTTCACTGGGGAAAAAAAACACTAAGGGATGCCTACAAGCCCGAAATGTATCCTGATAAATGTTCTTTTCTCACCTCACAGGCTTTTTCAAAGTAACTGGCTGATTGAAATATTTGCCAGTGTAGTCTTTATATATTATATTGCCATTTTCATTATTTCAGAAAAATTGAGTCACCAAAGGCATTACCATCCATCCAACATGGACCATGAACATCTGTACAAAATACCATCGTAATACACCCAACAGTACCTCACTTCTGCAATGGTGCTAGAGTTAAAGTCAGTAGGATTCATCTTCTAGAGGACCATGAACCATCTGTATAAAATTTCAAAGCAATCCATCCAGTAGACATGTTTCAAGCAGGATCATTGACATTTATACAATAGACATGGCATGAGCACTTCTCTCCATTATGTAAAAATTAAGCCAAAATATTGTGGATATGGTGGCTGCCATCTTGTTTTTTTTTTTTGTAACCAGAGTCTGCACAGTAGTGTCTAGAAGTGGAGTGACAGCATTGGGCCACCAGTCAAATAACTTGTTATGTTGCGGGTCAAATTGACCCACGAACATACAGTAACTGCTGAGCAGGCATCACCTGAGAAATGAACATAACAGGAGGGTTCCCTCCTGTTATGTTCATTTCTTCATATCAAATATTTGTCTCATTTAAAGCAGTTATGTTCGTGGGTCAACACTGATATCAGAACACTGATACACACACATCAGTGCAATAATATTTACCAAAAACCACAGAAGCGACCTCTGGGAAAAATGTGTTTGATTTGTACTCTGAGTTTTTATTTTGGCTCATGTCTCATCCACTAACATGGAGGAAGCGGAATTATGACCTGTACTGCAATTGGCCACTGGGGGGCAATTGGATCATGATGGCCTCACTTCTGGGAGCTGTCATGGCATCCAGATTTTATACAGTCCATGGTCTGGACCAAAGTAGTGGACCGATCAACATCCTGCACTGTAATCTGTATAGCCACATAGCTAGCACTAAAAACACCTCAGCAAACAAAGTGCACACATTTTTTGACCAAGAGCCAGTCTAAATATATCTCTTTTCAGCCTGCTTTCCTTCTTCTCAGTCTAGATATACTACTCTAGTCTAGTTTGTTTACACATTCTGTAGCAAGAAGATAACTGTTTTAGGTCTTTTAACTCTTTTAAAACAATGGCTTTTTTTCTTGTTTTCTCTTTGTCCGTTCTGCAGGAAAACTGTCCCTTGAGGAGTTTATCAAAGGTGCCAAAAGCGACCCTTCCATCGTCCGGCTACTCCAGTGTGACCCCAGTTCGGCCTCCCAGTTTTGAACACCTGACCCTTTGTTCCTCAGCCTCTCTGTTGCTATTGAACCAGTCACTCAAATCAATGCATGATGGTTCTAATCTCTCTTATCATCTTTTCTGTTGTTGTTGTTGTTGTTGTTGTGTGCAAGGATGGAGGAGGAATTTAAGAGGAGAATAAGAAAAGGCATCATGATTACTTTACTTTCATGTTACTATCTGGGAAAAATGGAGGGACGTAAAATCATTTAATGATGAATTGACAGGAGGGTCTGCTAATGTTTCCCAATACCTCTCCCTCTGGAACACTGGATTTCCAGGGAGCCTGTGACAATGTTTTTTGCAGGATGGGGATTGCTTGGTTTCCCCTCCAACACTTGTAAATCATGTATATGCTATAGGTCTGTGTATATCATGAGGTGACGTCTTCATATATGGTGCACACTCTCTGGCACTGAAAGGCAGTATTATGTAGCGTAGCTTCCTGGTCTGATCTGAATGAGTGGTCGGGCAGTGGAAGTAGGTGGGGTTTTACTGTTATATGATCTGGCCCTGAAAAAAAGAAGGTCTATGATCCCATCAGATTTTATTAGTTTTAGGGTTTTTTTTATTTGTATGTACTTTTCCTCATTTGTTTTATTTATTCATTTTTATTCTAATTATCGTGCTTTTACTTTGCTATGTAGATGACCATGTTCCAGTTTACACTGACAGAGAGAGCGAGAGAGAGAGGAAATGTGGTAAGATTGATCTTTGGGATTTGTTGATTGAAAGTGTATGAGTATAAAATTCTAATGAAATAAGGAGATCCCATAATGCATTTGGTCAATGATATCAGTAGCACATATCATTTGATTCTTCATGTGTTTTTAAAGTATGGCTGTGCATTCTGAATGTGTGTGCGTGCATGTGAATATGTATGCTTACAGCTAACTTTTACAGTATTACCATGTTGTGTTGTTTCTTAATTTGTAAGTATTTTAAACTTCTTCATCAACAAACAGTAACCTTAAAATAGTTGTAATCTGTCACTATTCTGCATGTTCTTACGAACCAGACAAAATCCACAAAAACAGTTAACGCACAGCAGTGTGTTTTTGTAGCTCTGCAGCCTCCTCAGCACCATTTATAGCAGAAAAGATTAACTCCTTGTCTTGCTGTGGGACACGCCCTGACCCCGGTCTCTTTTCCTCTGACAGACAGAGAACTCACTAAGGGCTTGTTCATCACTCTCTCCAGCTGAATGCTTTTATAACCTCCTGGATTAGTCTGCTTACAGAGCAGTTAGATGAAGGGACATGTTTCATGAGGCTGCAGCAAGTTCACATACTTGTTCAGATTTAGATTTTTAGGGTTTCCAGACAGTAATCTGACAGAAATTAGTGGTTGTGTTTACATTAGTGCTGCTAGTACTACACTGTTAGTAGTAGCACCAAGGCACAGCATCAGGTTTGTTACCTAAATCATATTAAACATAAGACAATAAACTACGATGTTTGTGTGTGCTAGTAGAGTTGTAAAACACTTAACAATAAAAGCCTCTCAAATACTGTGCATGTGTAAAAACAGCCACTGGTTGCAGCAGTGGCTCCACTACTCACATGTCTCGCACTTAAGACTCCCATTGGCAGTTCACTATTGCCATCTTGTGTTTTCAAGGTTAGACACACACAAATTCAGTCTGTGAAGTAGCAAACCATTGTGCAAACTGAAAAGAAAAACCATTTAAAGTAAAAGAAACACGGCATACTGCAAATACTCTTAGGCCTTTTTTAATGAAGTACTACTTGAAAGCCTTTTAGAGAAGCAGCTTTTTGTTGATGTTTAATCACCATATTATTTCTTTCCACGATGCACATTAAAGTCAGGCCAGTTAAGTACAGACCATTCCAACAGCACTGGTGGATACTTTTATCTTAAACTATATTATTGCTTTACTGGCACTTCTTTATTTTTATAGGATGATGCCAATATTTGTATTTAGCAGTAGAATATAATTAAGTACTATTTATACTAATACTAGACTTATATTAATACCTTGTTAAGGTTGTTTACCTATTTTCATTTTTGCAACTGTATCATACTTTATTACATTACAGAGACAAATACTGTATTCTACTTTTACTGCACTGTGCTTATTTGACAGCTACTATTATTATTTTAAATAATAGTTTTACGTACAGTATATGTAAACACAAACGCTATTACTTTAAAATCTCTGACATTATAGTTTAAACTATCTACAAGTACAGGAAGTAGTATAGTGTGGTATTTCTGCTTTTGCATACAGTAAGTACATGGACAGAATACTTCTTTTTTCAGCTGTCATTTAACAAAACTGATACTCTGAATCCCTAAATTGATTATGTCTGCACCCTCACAATCACCAAAGGGCAAGGATTCCATATTTATGTCATGATTTTATCCTTATGATTTTCAAAAATTCCTTTTTCAATGGGGCACTGCAGTGCTCAGTTAAAATCCAGACTAATTGTTTCAGTTGAGGTTCACTTTACACACTGCAGAAGATGAAGGCTAAACTCAGACACTTCCATCACACTTGGATGATTTCTCTGTCTGCCATGTGAGATAAAAATAACTTTTGTTATTTGGTAATTAGCCTAATTGTGATGAATTCATCGTGTTACTCAGTAGCTGACTCACAAAATGAATTTAAGTGTGTGATGGTGGCAGAGTGAACTACCAGCGAGAGCCTGCGAGCTGTACTGGTGCAGCTGCATCCACGTGACATTAGGAATTATCTAAGATTAGTTTTCTCCAAACACTTGTACAGGAGCTTTCTAGCCAGTCATGCTTCTGCTTTGGGGATCCTAGTGTCACTGCCTTCTGCTGGTAGGATAAAGAATAACCGTTGCTACCCTGATCTACTACAGTTAAGCCTGTTTCTGTTCACTGCCTCTGATGAACTGGTACCTTGTGTTAAATAAATACAGCCCCGACTTCTTTCCTTCCTACTTTTCTGTTGCATGAAAACCTCATGTGAGGATGTCATGTTTGTTCCCTTGGACCTGAAATCAAAATATACCTATGTGTTTCAAAGCTGCACTTGTGGACTATTTCTTGTTATTTAGGGTATGTATGGAATTCAGGAGAAAAGTATTTCGCTGTGGACAAGGCTAACGTCCGGTCTGACAGTTGACTATTACTGTCAAGGTACATTGTTGGTTCTTATTGACACAGATGTGACAGGGGGTTGGTGTGTTTGGTCCAAACCTACTGTATATGCACGACTACATGTGCATATGAGTGCAACCATCCAAACTTGTCAGGTCACTGACTGCTGACATTACTATAATGCAACTGAAATGTTTTCAGTTAGAGTTAAGATAGAAAACATAAAATAGCTGCATTATTTTGAATAAATATGTTTAATTACATTGGTAATAAATACAAAATTTACGGTATTGGTAAGAGTTTCTCATGAAACCAGTTTGACATACTTTGTGTTCTCACTTAGTGAAAATCAAAAACATGGCACAAGGTTGAAGTCCCACCAGTGCACTAACCATGACCTAGCTCCATCTCTGTACCTTATGCACATATGTGAGAGTGGTATCAATCAGCACATTGTCCTCAGTTCACAGGATATGCAAGACTTCATCATCATCTGATACAAATAATTTGATCGTCATAAAAACAGATGACCACACATACTCACACAGCACAGATTGTGCAAAGATCCTCTGAGCTGCAGAAACTGAATGCATCAGGTTCAAGCTTAAGTACTGCGCTATTAAAAAAAACATTGCAAGTCTCAGAGTCCATAGCTTTGAAGTAAAAAATAATGTCTGAATGCAAGTATTGCAGCTACAGCTACAGCATATACCCTCACAGCCCTTGTTCTTCTAGAAGCTTCGGCCTGTCAGATATGACTAAATCCAGAAGCTGGACCTTCCCACTGTACCCCTCTCCATTAGTTGGTGTTGCTCCGGTGCCTTTTGCTGGCTGCCACTACTCATTTCTTACCCTTCTCTATCTGAACTTTCTCTGTACAGCTAGTAAAGAGGCCATGTCTCCAAGGGAGGAAGACGCTGAAGAGGGAGAGGAGGTTGCTGTTGTGTTGGAGGTGCAATGTTCCTTCTTGGGGGTTCACGATAGCTTCTAGGAGATTCGGTATAGCGTGTTGAAATTTCATTGTAGCTACATGGAGGTTCAGTGAAACAAGAAGCAGCAGTTTCCTCCCGCGGCCTTACCACATTGATCTTCACAAACACAAAAATCATTTTATGACAGTTTTTCCAAAATCCAATTTTTAAATATTACCCTATTTGAAACATTCTCATGCATAGTAGATGGCGTTTGAGTCAAAATCTCACTGCTCTGGCAATGTTGTTGGGTCTGTCTCTGTTAGGGCAGCAAGGCAGACCCAGAAATGAAATGCAGGCAGCAAAGCACCTGGCTGAAAACACCAGCTGGATGACACAAGTCACAATCAGAGGCACCCACAGGATTACAGTGGTACTCCAGGGAGGGATGGAGGAGTGAAGTTATTGCCAGCCACAAGCCGAAACACTGAGGCAAGAGCACTCAGCTGTCTCACATAAATGGGAATATGGTGTGAGGTAATGATGTGGTACAGAGTCTCATTTGTCTGTGAAGACTGTGGAGTGTCTGGGAATTTTCATTTGCACAAAAGAGTTGGCATTGTGAATAAATTATACAGAGCAGAATGTATCAAAGTAAACATATACGGAGGGAATTCAAAGAAAAAAGACTTACCTTTTGTTTGGTATGCTGACTTGCAGACTACAAAGAGAATGGAAATTTATATTTGAAGTTTGGATTTTGATTTTATGATGAAATATGCAGGAGGAGCAAAAGATAAACATAGGCATCACTGGTGCCTCTAAGCAACTATGAAGTCTGAATTAATATGGTCTTTAGTCTCAACCATGATAGTTACTTCTGTGCTGTTTCTGATTCTGCAGAAAACATGAGCTGTCAGGCAGGTAGTAAAGAAGCCTGTAGTTTAGCCAGATTATTAAAACAACTTTAATGGAAGGTCAAATCAAAAGTGGCCAGATTCAGAATGATCCTTCATTTCTGGAAAAATGTATAACAACCGTTTGAGGACATTTTACCATTTGCCTTCATTTTGGCTAATCTGAAGGTTTGTTTAAAACCTGTTTGAATGTCTGACTGCTTTTCTTGCTCATTTTTTACTTTTTCTTAGCAATATCACAAAATTTGAGTGAGTATAATTTGAATATTATTGATAGGAATGATGGCAAAAAAACTACATAACCAGGACCCATGTTGATATAAGCAAAGTGGGTCTTTTGTTAGCTAGCTACTTTAAGAATTTGACATCTTAACATTACTGTTACCCACGAGTGTCCAGGGGTGACACCAGCAACCCGAGAATCTGATTGGCCACCTCTGTCCAAATATTTTAGACCTACCCCTGCTGTTATCTGCACACAAGCTCATGCCAGCATAGTAACACACCAGCTTACCATGCTCACATATAATAGCATTACTAAATAAGCTTGAGGTAAACAAGACACTTAAATGACAAATTGGAGACTACAAGCTGTGCTAAAATGTTAAAGTGGTGCTGATGTATGAATGCAGCTGTGAGGCTGCAGGCCTGACAGTCCATCTATAGCACACTGGAACAGATCAGAGCCTGAAGAGGACCGACAGGGTCAGGTCAGCATTTCTGCCCAGCGGCTGAAGAGTGTGAGTGATTGAGTGACAGAAAAACCAGACACCCAGCCTCACACTACCCCCTATGTACACACACAAAACAGGGACACGGCCACTGTGATGTGCAACATCACTGCTCTCTAGTGCTGATGCTGCAGTGACAATGGTCAGCTGTTCAAAGAGCCAGCTGCAGCAGAAAATGTCATAGTTCATGCTTTAATCTCAACGTCTGTCGCATACACTAATACACTCACATTGAGGCGTGTGGGGTCGAAAGGGCACTCATTGGTGACGCCGGAGTAGACAATGGCAGTGGGGAAGCAGCGATAAGTCAAGAGCCTCTGCCCACTGTCGATGATGGCCTTCACCACAGACACAATGAGTCCGATGGCTGAAGTTGCTGCCATGATTGTTGTAAACAAACTGACCGTGAAAAGTGACCACGTCTGGGGAAGGAAAGGAGACACACAACTAAAACAATCGGGACAGAAAAACCTGATGACTGGCACAATGAAGGTTTAACACTTCCAGTGGGGAAAACGGGGGCATCCCCAGCAATAAATATGAAAACACAGCTAAAAGCAAGCAACAATAATACAAACAGAGCAAATATGGCAGATTTAGGGCAGCTGTTACAGCATGATTCTAAACCTTATGGATAAGCATTTAGTGATGGAAGCAAAGGAAAAAACTGAAGAGGAAAAATGAGGCAAAGCATAAAAAAATGTATTAGATATTGTTTGCATCATATTCATACAGAGAGTGGTACCCCTTTTAAACACCAAGAAAAAAGATCCTTCTTGAAAACATCCACACAGATGTAAGAATTCATGCAAAATAAAATGCCTACTGTTTTCAGTAGACCATGATGAAAATGTAATTTATTAAAGAGTTTTTGACTTCCCAGTCAAAAATGCCAAACATACTCAGATTCCCACTTCTCACGCTGCAGGATATGCAGTCATATGTAAACTGAACACCTTTGGGTTTAATACTTTCACTCAGACAAAAACTATTGGCTTTTTTTTTTTTTACATTTTATAAAAGTCAATCCCACACCATCTTGCTGCTGTAAATACTCAGTTTTGCCAGAATCCACATTAAAAACAGTCCCCAGCAAGTACACTATTAACTCTAGTCTAAGGAAAAATTGTTCAGATGTTTTAGGAAAATGGAACTATATGTTTGTGAGGCATCTTAACATCCTCACCAGGAACCAATGGGCTTGAGTCTGTCATAGCCAGAAGAGGGGTGTCTAAATGTGCTGAGAGATGGACTAACACTGGGCTTTTTATAGGCTTTCTTGATAAGAAATATAATTCCAGCCTTAATCTAAGTGCCTAGTAAAAATTTGCAGCAACAGAAACTAATTCACAATAATAAATGATGCACTGGGTAGGGAAGCCTATTCTTTCAAAGGTTTACACAAGGTGGGCGTAGGCGCAGAATGTCTCCAGACGTTTAAATCACTATGTAAAGATGACTGATTTGGTCAATCGAAACTGGATAAGAACCATAAGAAATAATGTAATCTGTGTGTGAGACTGGGAGCTATCACACCAGGCACATTTGATAATAATGATGTTAACATAATAAAAGGTGTGTTGAGATTAGAATATTATTCATGCCATGTGATGCTTGGATGATTAAATAAGATAACAAGATGGAAGAGGAGTTAAACTGCTGCTTGTCAGCTCTGCCTTGCCCAATTCACGGTTGCACTCATTAACAAAGGAGAGGTTTCAACAGTAGGTTTGGCCGAGTGTAGTCATTCTGTTCAGCTCACTGCCTCGTCAGTCCCATCTGAGCAGCCTGACAGAGGCCACATTGCACAACAGGAAGCAAAGGGGAGAAACACACACACACACACACACAGCTCAACATCTGCAAGGCTGGATTCAGACACCTAAGGCAACATGCCGAAGCACAAATGATTTTTTATATCCTCCTGCCTAGAGCGACAGAGGCAATCAAGTGTGAGAAAACAGGAAAAAAGAGAATGCAGGCATACATGCAGTGCAGGTAGACAACAAACTGGGCAGAGGGCCATAAAAGTACTGATGTGACAAAGTAGGGAGGATCAATGAAGAGTATGAAAGCATTGGGAGGAACAACTGAGAGCAGAACTCACTGTACATAGTTACCTCTCTGTATTTTAATGGTTTTTGTTACTGCTTGAGAACATTCAAATGAAAAAAAGCAACAATCTATTGGAAAAAGATGAGTGATACTAACCAGGCCTATGCTCTTTTTGTTTTTAGACAGGACAATAGCCAGAATGCCAACAACAATTCCCTGTAGAAGAAGACAGATGAGATTTAAAGGACAGTCATAATGCTCCATTTGCAACTGCTCGGTCTATAACTATACAGAAAACAGGAACGACAGCTATACAAAATTAAAGATTACAAGACTGGACATCACACATATATCATCCAGTCTCAATACCACAGCGTTGTGGGTCTGAAAGTTTTTTCTGCCACACCTAAAGAAAAAAAAAGACCATTTAACTTGACCTCAAATTAATTTTTGTGATTGGAATTATGATTTTGAGATCATAAGCTAAACCAGTCACTGATCTGAGCAGCCATTTTCCATATGTTTTGGAGTGGAGATCACATATATTTGAAAGTGCTCCCCACATAGGAGCTAAGTGTATTTCAAGGGTTGTTTTAATGAAATGGTTAACCCCAAAAAATCTGAGGATGCTGTGTTTTGTTTGACTGCGACTTTTAATTCATGTCCTTGATTTCAGATTGTCCCACATGGAGTTATTGTAAATCACATTTACTTTTATAAACAGTTGTTAAATCACTAAAAAATATGATAAACCCCCCAAAATCTTTCTTGTAATACAGCAAATTATAATCACTTCTGGTACATTTCTGAAGGAGCAGATGCATGTGTAATTTGTGGAAATCAGTGTGAAACCACAGCTATGATGAAAAAATCCCACAACTCGACAGTACAAGTAGAAAAAGCATTGAAATGAACATAGTATTCCTTTTTACCTGTGTTGTCTACTTTTTTTCTAAATCTTATGAACAGAATACCTAAAATAAGCAGTAAAACACCCTTCTATTCTCTGATCCCCAGAGATGTTATCAGAGTCCTTGCTTGATGCTAAAATGAGTACGTGCCCATATGTCTGTACACTCACTACAAGGCCTGTAGTGAGAGCCAACACATTGGAGATGGCATACTCCATGGCTGTGGCCTGCTTGTGAAGGCTGATGTGTTTGAAAACCACACCGTGCACCAGTGCTCCCAACAGGAAGTTAACGTGACTTATGAGGATCATGCTCAGACCCATCTTCATCAGGGATTTTGGTTCCAGACTTGCACAACACACTCCTGAGGAAAGAAAGTGAATGCACCAGGCAGTGAAATACAGTATAAAGAATCACAAAACAAAACTGAGGAAGTTGCACTGATTTCACATAACCTTACATCAGCTGTGCAGTCCACATTGTATTGATAAGAAATGCACAGGAGCCAGGTCAAAACCACAGCAGACATGTCACATGTACTAATGATTAGCTGCTGAGCACATACTGTCACTACAGTACAAGCTGTACAACCTGGAAATGTCCCAGACAGGCACACTGTATATGTTGACTAAAGAATAAAAGTACATGCTACACAGCAACAATATTTAAGCAACATTTTAAGGAGATCATTATGTTGAATGCATGAAAAGCAACCCAGAGAACACCACCCATGGCAGCAAGAGTATTCAGTGTTATCTAAAACTAACTTTTACAAAAAAGAAATCCAATTGGACATAGCAAACACTATTTATCAAAGTAACCTACTAAAGAATAATTGCAATTTAGAATAATTAAAATTCCATACAGAATACACGAAATAGTCCTAATATAAATAACATTCATCCATTATCTAGACCGCTTATTCCTGAACAGGGTCCAGGGGAACTGGAGCCAATCCCAGCTGACACTGGGCGAGAGGTGGGGTCCACCCTGGACAGGTCGCCAAGTCTATCACAGTGCTGCCATGCAGGTAAACACCCACACTCACTCCTACAGGAGTGCATGTCTTTGAGAACCCATGCAGGCACAAACTCTGCACAGAAAGGCCACAGGTTGGCCTGACTCAAACCCAGAACCTTCTTGTGGTGAGGTAACAGCGCTAACCACCACACCACTGTGCCGCATTATTATAGGCATCATAAGACTGGTAAGTTGCGTTATGCTGGGTTTTCTGTGTATGTATGAAACACAGGGCATATTTTATTTTGGCCACTGCTGCCTGAGAATTTGCATTTCACATATTCAGCCTCAGACACTTAAACCGTGTAGGCTAAAGGCTGTGTCTGCAAAATAGGTCAGAAGTACTTCAAGATTTTATATCAAATTTAGACCAATGTAAAATATCAGGAAAAGTAATATACAGTATTGTTCAAAATAATAGCAGTACAATGTGACTAACCAGAATAATCCAGGTTTTTAGTATATTTTTTATTGCTACATGGCAAACAAGTTACCAGTAGGTGCAGTAGATTCTCAGAAAGCAAACAAGACCCAGCATTCATGATATGCACGCTCTTAAGGCTGTGAAATTGGGCAATTAGTTGAAAGGGGTGTGTTCAAAAAAATAGCAGTGTCTGCCGTTGACTGTACAAACACAAAACTATGTTGTACAAACGTTTTTGTTTCTAGGATTTAGCAATCCTGTGAATCACTAAACTAATATTTAGTTGTATGACCACAGTTTGTTATAACTGCTTCACATCTGTGTGGCATGGAGTCAACCAACTTGTGGCACCTTTCAGCTGTTATTACACTCCATGATTCTTTAACAACATTCCACAATTCATTTACATTTCTTGGTTTTGCTTCAGAAACAGCATTTTTGATATCACCCCACAAGTTCTCGATTGGATTAAGGTCCGGGGATTGGGCTGGCCACTCCATAACATTAATTTTGTTGGTTTGGAACCAAGACTTTGCTCGTTTACTAGTGTGTTTGGGGTCATTGTCTTGTTGAAACAACCATTTCAAGGGCATGTCCTCTTCAGCATAAGGCAACATGACCTCTTCAAGTATTTTGACATATGCAAACTGATCCATGATCCCTGGTATGCGATAAATAGGCCCAACACCATAGTAGGAGAAACATGCCCATATCATGATGCTTGCACCACCATGCTTCACTGTCTTCACTGTGTACTGTGGCTTGAATTCAGAGTTTGGGGGTCGTCTCACAAACTGTCTGTGGCCCTTGGACCCAAAAAGAACAATTTTACTCTCATCAGTCCACAAAATGTTCCTCCATTTCTCTTTAGGCCAGTTGATGTGTTCTTTGGCAAATTGTAACCTCTTCTGCACGTGCCTTTTTTTTAACAGAGGGTTAATCAACACCAATACAATGTACAAGTTATGTTAAATTGTTCTATCTAAATCAGGGGTGTCAAACTCAATCTCACAGGGGGCCAAAACTCAAAGTACACTTTAGGTCGTGGTCCGAACAGGGTAAAAATTTATTGAACAGACTAAAACTAAATGTTTTTTTTAACAAATATGAATCGAAACAGACAGGATACAATATTATTCCAAAATAAATAAACCTGAACTTAAAATCACCAACCGTATTTCTGGTAAGGCTTACCTTTGCAAAAACCTGCTTTTTGTCTGGACACAAGACCAGGCCCGGCCCTAACCAATTTGGCGCCCTAGGCAAGATTTCAGGTGGCGCCCCGTTGCATCGCAGTAAATTCCACTGCTAGTGTATATACTCATAAGAAACGTAATAGCTTTGTCTTGGACATTCTTTTATTTAAATAAAGCAATTGCACATTCAAAATACTTAGAAAGAATTAAAGAAACAAATACAAAAAAATGAACTGAACATGTGAAATACAATATAAATAGCTTACATAAAGTACCTATTAATACTCCCCTGATGATAATGCAGTGTGCCTTTAATGCCACCAGGTGGAGAAACAGCGCCATTACAGCCGGAGAAAAAGATAGTCGATGGAGAAAACATGGACGAATTCATCTTAATTTATTGTTTAGGTTTTATCCAAGTTGAAAAAAAAGAAGAAAAACTTTATTTTCAGTGCTTTGACAATATTTGACATTTTTCAGGGGATACAAAAAACTGATGATTGATATGCTGACAATGCTAAAAAACATACGCTTTAATGATTTTATGAATTAATAGATGATCTATCATTTAACTCTTATTCTACAGAAATATTTAGCTCTTCTGAAAAATAACATGGAGCATATCATTGTTTGTGACAAACCTGAAGAATATGTTAAATTGCTTTGTAAATTAAAATAACCTCAAAGATAATAGATTAACCTTTTTTTACAAGTCTTAAATGCTCATAAAAATCAAGTGTGTGTCCACCATGTCTTACAATTGATGTTTTTTAAATTACAGTGATATAACTATCTCAGTGTACATAAAGGCATGTGAGCATTGTATTAAATCATTTGGAAAAACGTTTAGCCTATCCTTTAATAGAGAAAAAGATCGCCCACTAGTTAATCAATCAGTGGCATAGGAAATCTTCATGATTCATCTTCTATGATGGAACAGAGGACTGGTAGCCATCACAGTTCATGTCAGAGTAGGTCTTTCTAGATGAAGTGTGCATGCTGCCTCTGTGTTTAAGAGTCACCATCCGGGATGCAATCAGATAGAAAATTTCACAGATGTTGAGCAGCACACACAAGACAGATGCCCCCACCATGAAGTAGCTGAAAACGGTCTTCTCAGTGGGCCGTGATACGTAGCAGTCCACCACATTTGGACAGGGTGAGATATTTTTACACTGGACCTTCCTGGGTAGCCTGAAGCTATCATAGATGTAGTGCAGCAAGTAGAGAAATGTGATCTCAAAGGTGGTTTTGATGAATAGGCTCATCAGGTAAGTCCACCACAGACCACCATGCTTTTGGCCTGGGTTGTCATACAATCGAGTGTCTTCTCCATTCTTGGCTTGGTATTTGCGTTCCCGCTCTTGCCGGTAAGCCACATGTAGCACCACCATGAAGGATGGGCAAGTAACGAAGATGAGCTGGAGAGCCCATAGACGAATATGGGAGATGGGGAAGAAGTAATCATAGCAGATGTTGGTGCAACCCGGTTGGCGAGTGTTGCAGTCAAAGTGTCCCTGTTCGTCACTCCAGACTCGCTCGGCGGCCACCACAAAGACCAGGACTCGGAAGACAAAGATCACTGATAGCCAGACGCGTCCAAAGGCAGTGGAGTATTTGTTGACTCCACTAAGAAGACCCTGGAGAAATTTCCAATCCATGGGTTACCTCGTTTCTTTTACAAGTCTTTAGAAGCCTGTCTTTAAATTATGCAAAACGTAAACTTCATGAACTGTAGAGCTAGAACACAATAAAAACACAAAGTTATATGATTATCCAGAGAAATACAATTTAAAGGGGCAAAAATTACAAAAATTATATAAAATCATTATTGATTTTACAAAATACTCTGCTCTCTGTTCCAAATACTTCACTACATATCTTTATTCTGAGCAAACCATTTCTTTGACAGCTAAAACCTCAGTCCTCTGTCCCAAATTTCACAGTTTAAAGTGTTTTCACTTACAAATTTTTGACACTTTAAAGGTGTCATTAATAATTGATGAAATACTGTGTTCAATGCATACCACCTCCAACAATGCCAAGGAGTGATTGTACACCTTTAGGGAAGTTTAGGCTGAAGCTCAATTTTAAATTGCTTCTTACAGTGCCTCTGAATACAGTAGTGCTCACTCAGGTCTGCCCTTAAATTTCATGAGCTTTGCTTTGCAGAAAGTCTTAAAATGAAATATGACTGATACAAATTATTTTATTACAAAACAATGACTAAAATAACATCTTACCTTAAATACAGGTGTTTCACTCAGTCCATCATGTTCCTTGTCAGGGGAAACAGAATTACCATGGGTAGCTTTGGGCAACCTATTTCACAGTGGACCCCCTGAAATTGACTCAGTGAATGAATCAACTCTTGGTCATAGTTTGGAGGTGTGGCCACTAATGGCATCCACCCTCTCTCCAGGTACTCCAGCTTCCTCCCACAGTCCAAAGACATGCAGCTTGGGTTAAATGACGACTCTAAATTGCCCGTAGGAGTGCACACTCACATCGTGGGGACTCGGCCATCCTGAATTTTTGGGTGGCAACATAGTTTAAGGTTAGGTGTTAGGATTAGGTTAAGTATAAGATCAGGGTTAGGTATTAGGGAAGTAGTGGTTACAGTTAAGGTAGGATAAGTCTACAGAGGATGAATGTAAGTCAATGTAAAGTGCCCACAAGGAATAAAAACACAGTGAATGTGTGTGTGTCTACCTGTCTTTATGTGTCAGCCCTGTGATAGACTGGCGACCTGTCCAGGGTGTACCCTGCCTCTCACTCAGTGTCAGCTGGGCTTAGCTCCATAACAGCCCCACTCCGGCGAGCGGTGTCGATAATGGATGGATTGAGTTGTACTGTAATGGGACATCCTTAATGAAAAACTGGATGCAGCAAAAACAAACTCCACGAAAGCAACAAAGTACACACTAGTTTCTGATGATGGTTGGGTTTGGGTTGGTAGCTGGGTGTAACTCTGTGCAAATTAAAAGGTGATACCATGTAACAAACAGACCTTGTTGATTATCCTTATTGTTCCACCCCAAATGGTGTGTTTGTCTACTCTGATCATCATATAGCTTAACAAGTGACTTGGTATCAGTCCATTGCGCACTTGGAATTTGGAGATAATGCTCTTTATAGCTTTTGATTAATCAGTATCAAACAAGGCCACCACCTAATTTCTGTTTGAGCAGGCACTCTGGAAGTAAAATACACCTGAGATATGGTGAGCTATTATCACATAATCAGATATACATTGGAGTGTTTGTTTTCTCAGATAGGAATGTTCAGCAGTCACTACCTTATTAGTACATGGTTTTCAGACTGTCCTTTGTAAGTTTACTCTCACTCTGTTGTTCTGCTTTGCAGGGAATGTCAGATATGGTTAATTCTCATAGGAGTGGTCTGAAACATTATGTAGGAGTGGTGATTTTATCAGCTTTTGTCAATAATACGCCCATCACTAACCACATGTAGGTCATTGTGGTACAGCACATTATGCTTTTGCTGATTACTTTTGGGCATTTTACTCCACAATCTGGATCCCTATTGGTTTAATTTGCTCTATACTTTTCAATCAGTTTTCAGCTGTTCCTGCATACTGTAGAAAAATTACAGATGATTTTCCTGGAAGCATATGACGCATGACCACCAACATTTCATAGAGGGATTTTAAAAGAGAACATGTGGCAATGTGAATTTCAAAAGATTTTTTTATTTTATTTTAGTAAACATAATTGCAATCTTTCTCTATTTTTTGGCTAAGTTTATCACAATGTATCTGCTCTTACACGGCTTTTTTCCTCACTTCCCGTTTTTGTGGCCATAATATTCTAGAAACAGATAACAAATAATAACATATAATTACATAAATAGACAAAATAAATCACCTCTACTATGTATCAGATGTTATGGATAACAAAAAGGTATTACATATATCTTCAGCTTTACAGCATCAAGGGACAGAAACATTACAGTTTGATGTGAAATAGTTTCAAAATTGATATCACCTTTGTAGACAACATGCCATTAATGCTGCTAAGCTTTGCAGATAATTCTGGCCAACACTAAAAAAACTACCAAATATTTTTATTTTTATTTCAATTCAAACTCATGTCTCTCAGGAGACTGCTATGCTGTATGCTGGAGCTGAACTCGCTATGCCAGCTTCTCCGCTGCTCTTATTGACCATCTTCTCCAGGACCGGCTTTTTGTACGCAGAGTTTTCCTTTCCACTCAGTGGAGCTCTGGTCATCGTGAAGGAGTTTTCTCTCATGGAGTGAGGTCCTCCTCTGCAAACCTCCAAGAGCCTCTTCCCGCACAGGTAGAAGACCTCACAAAGAGTGAGAAAGATGCACACGAAGCTGGTCACCACCATGAAGATGGTGAATAATTTCTTCTCTGTGGGTCTGCTCAAAGAAGAAAGATGGTATAGCATTGAGATTTTTGACATAAAAGAAATTATGTTTTCATGTGGAGCTCAGAGGCAAAGTTGGGACTTCAAGCTATTTAGCATTTTTAGAAATTTGAAGGTTCCCTTACCTGGCAATGTAGCAGTCTACCACATTTGGACATGGTTCTTCGTTGCATTTGACCACTGGAGGGAAGAAGGTGGCCTCGTAGATGTAAAACAGCAGGAAAACAAACACTGCATCCACTGTTATCTTGAACATCAGGCTGAGGAAATAGGTCCACCAGAGACCCCCCCGTTTCTTTCCTGTGTTATCATACAGAGGGGTGCATTCCTCTCCATGCTTCAGCCGGTTTTTGCGCTCTCTGTCTTTTCTGTAGGACACATGGAGTGTCACAAGAAGTGATGGGCAGGTGACAAAGATCAGCTGGAGAGCCCATAGTCGGGTGTAGGAGATGGGGAAGTAGTGATCGTAGCAGACGTTGTGACAACCAGGCTGGCGGGTGTTGCAGTCAAAATCCTTCTGCTCATCACCCCACACCTTCTCGCAGGCCACCAGGAAAACCAGAAGCCTAAAGATGAAAACAATTGCGAGCCAGACGCGACCAAATGCCGTGGAGTATTTGTTCACCCCACTGAGGAGGCCCTCGAGGAAGGCCCAGTTCATGTTGCTGTTTCAGGTTGGACCTCCTCAAAGAAAAATAAGCCCCAAAGACCCCACAGTGTTGTACACACTCAGTTGAGTGTCCAAACACTGAAAGCTTGGACACAAACTGAACTGAGCATGTCAGGGACAAAGGCTCTTTAATGTAGTACTCATTACTGCTGCCGTCTTGGCACAGGCTGAAGGATAGGCAGGAATATTAAACAAAGCAAAGCAAACATAGACTCATTCTTCAGCTACAGTCACTAGTGCAACTAGCAAATGCCTTGAGTACCAGGTAAGAGAGAAACAGAGAGAAGCAGAGAGATTGCCAGACAGTATATGGTAGCATTATTCAGGGTATTCCAAATACATTTTAAGATATTTAAAGAAAATGTTCAACATTTTGGGAAATACCATTATTTACTTTCTTATCAAACATTTGATGGGACCGATATTCATTGAATGATAAAGTAGAATAATATTATTTTCATTATGTTGTTTTTGCTTTAGCTTTCAAGGCTTCCACAGCTGCAGCACAGCCAATGAGTGAGGAGCAAATAGCACAACAGAAAATGAGTTAGGACATCTTTAATCAGTGTGAAAGACCAGTGATCAAATCTGTGGTGAAAGGCCTACACCCCTTCAGCATAGCATAAAGCCCATGATTTAGGTTGGATAGTTCATTACAGTAGTTTCTGTCTGTATCAGTGTCATGCTTGTGTGGTAACAGTTAAAATAACCAGTTTTTTTATTTACATGATTAGAAGAAGCTAGATTCTTAAATATGTTATACATTTTGTTACATAAAACAACTGACTTACTTTTGTTACTGTACTGAATGAAATAAAAACAGTAAAACATGTTTTAAACTGATTTCTTAATTCTCTACAAGACAAACTCCTTAAAGCAGCTGTTTAAGAGATGAGAAAAGATTCAGTAAGCTGTAAGCAGTCTGTAACTGGATTCAGACTTGATAAAATTCTACTCAACCCATGCCTACAGCTTGGGTCTATGTATTTTCCAGTGAGGCAAAGAGGATTAGCATTACCCTCAAGCTTCATGTTGCACCCTCAAAGTTATGAGTTTTCATGACAAAATTCTTTGTGCTGTCCGGCACTGAGGAAGGGGCCCATCATCTTGATAACAGGCGATTTCTGGTAAAAGAATATACAGTATACAATCCCTCTCAGGCAGTGCAGTATTCCTTTGGGTTTGAACCACAGACTGTATAATATGGTTAGACATTGTCTGTAGCTGTCTGCATGAAGATGGACAATCAGATATAGACATATTACTTAGAAATGGATATTCACACTATTCAGCAAACATGCTGAGGTGCCCTGTCTAGTCTCAGAGAGATAACCAAGGTAACCGAAATCAATTAGTTTTACTTTTAAGGGCTGGCCAACTTGGTTCTGGACTATGATAATATCCAACTTCATGTCAGTTCCCTTCAGAGCCCCCACAGCATAATAATAATAATAATAATAATGATAAGAAGAAGCTTTTCAATAAATGTTTGCAAAAGGGAAAGGAAGCTTACAACTGCACACTCGTGATAATGGGTGGTACAGCGTTAAAACCAACAGATTTACAGGCATATTTTCCTTTAGTGGGTCAAAGTAAAAGGATAAACCACTGTTAAAGCTGGGTAAATTATACATATGTAAGAGCATTGTTGGTTATCTTAGCCAATTTCCAAATAATTTCTCTAAAATAAAACCTTTTATTTCAATTGGGTAAATTTTGGTGGTGTATTTTATAGCGGGTAGAGTATAACCGGAAATTATAATCATCTTTCTCGCTGGCTTGACAATAGTGTTGGGTGAGGGTCATAAATTCAGACAGACTCTCCACATTTGCATACACTATTTCCCCACTGCATAGCTGAAAGACAATATGCCTGTGCACCGTTCACCCCCTGCTCGTTAGTTAACCATCAGCTTCGGACCGAAGAGTTACTTTCTTCACTGGGGTTGGGCGGCACCTACACTTTCTCTACAGTTTTCACTGTCTTCCCTCTCGGTCCAGCCGGCTGCAGTTATCTCTCCGGAGCAACGGGAGGTAAGAGTGATGCTCCGCGATGGGACATTCCGGTGTTAGCTATCAGCTAAATTTGCATGCTAGTGAGCTAACTCGTTAGCTTTAGCAACTGGCTGTGTCCCAGACCCTCAACCTAATATGTATGATGTTGGCTTCCATCCGCGTATAACCGTAAAGGTTTTGTGCATAGTAGGCCACCTGAAATACTGTTCATATAACCTCCAAGGTACAAGTTTTAGGTAAGTTGATAAGCGAGACTAGACAGATTGTAAGGTGAAGTTGTTCAGGCTCAATAACTGTTTCCCGTGTTCATAAAAATAAAAGCTTAATTTGTCCTAATTTTTGTCAGGTTATTGTAATCAGCAGGTCCTTTGCCCTCATTTTTCTAGGATTAATGTAATCAGCAGAGCTGTTTCTCTGAATGATTTATATAGTTTTACTAACTATGCTAAAAGTTTGAATTACCGCTGATACAATGAGTTGATAAACTAAGCAAATATGCCAGATGCTCTCTGGTTGGAAATTTTAAGACATTTACTGCCTTTCTTTGTTCGTCATCATTATAAATTGACTATCTTTGATTTCGGGGTATTGGCTATATCAGGCAATTTGAGGACAGCTTGAGCTTTTTGCAATTGTACGGCATGGTGAATTTATAACAATGCCAAAGCAGTTATAAGAATCGTTCTCTCCAATCGCCTGGTAATATAGGCTGATCTGATGCAAACAGTGGTTACCTGGTGTTGGTCTTTGGTTCTTCTTACCACGTTAACTCTGAGAGACGAGACAGTCCAAGTAACTTCAAAACAGTGCTGATTTATTCAATGATCACAGGTAAAATTAACATTACACGCTCAGGTATCTTGCACCTCCAAACTGCTCCCAGGCAGATGTAAGATGAAAGACCCTGACCCCACCAGGCCTATACATTATATCCCCTCGGTTGGGCTAGCCCCATACTACACAGAAACGTCAACCGAGACGTCTCTGTTACCAGCTCTGCAGCTGGCCATAGCAGTAGTCCAAACATGAAGCAAATCAATGTGTGTGTCTGTTGATTAAGTGGTGTGTAACTAAAAACATTCTCACGACCTCTAGTAACATGTCATGATATTAAACATAAGAACATATTATGGCTAAGGCTACAGTTATACACGTCATAATAATAATATTAAACACCCTGTCTGCTGACAGTCATCAACTCTTCTCTCTAGTTATCCTTGACCAGATGTACCCTGTAGAAACTCATAAGCATGACTAAGCATTTAACAGTCTGACTAGACATCCTATCTCCACTAAACATTTCTAATACATAAAGTATCTATCCAATTTCTATCTGAATAAAAATACCTAACACTGGCCAAGGTAGCAGCCATGCAAATGTACAGCGTATTAAAATTCAACACAAAGGATATACAAAAATAATAAAATAAAAATCAATGTACAAGATAAAACAATGGGCTTTCAAGAAAAACGGTTCCATGTCTCGTACAGATTTCTGGAGACCTCGGAACAAGTCAGGGTTTATTTTGTATGCTATATTAAGGTACTTCCGGTTTCTATTTAACTCATATTGGCTAACTTAACAAAACAAAATAGCAAGCAGTTCTCCAGGCTGGTGCTCGAGGTAACCAAACGGAGTTAACGGTGTTAGCTTAGCCACCACAGCCCGAGTCATCTGCTGCTTTAGGCTTGTCAACATGATAATAGAAGCAGCTTAACCGCAACACACTGTAGCAAGTGTCCCGTGTGACTGTGTATAGGTCCAGCCGAGCTGAACTCCGCTGAGCCATGCGACAGTGGTGTGTCCCCGCTGCGACCCCACGCACTGAACCACTCCCGGGGCGCCTGTCTGTGTCACCCCCTTCATTAGGTAAGATTCCCTTGGTGACGGGACACTGCTGTAACATTATTTACCTTTCAAAGTAAAGCCAACTCGCTTCTTTGGTCTCGCTCTAAATGCTTTACTTTTAACCCAGAATAACACTAGGTGATTTGTATTATTTTACCTCTGATAAACAGAATTCTGTGCAAAACATTTGGCAACTTAAATTTCTTGTGCTTATCAACAAAGGTACATTACATCACATATACTATGACTGTACATGGCTACTTTTACAGGTATTGGACTTGAACCATCTTAGAAATTGGTGTGTCTTTCTGGTAAATTTAGTGTACATGTCATTTAAAAAGATCAGCTTTTTAAAGGTAGTTTATTTGTGGAGTGTACCATAATTTATTTTGGTGAAAGTATGGATGTGAAAAATAATGAAAATATACCTATGCCAAAGTGTCCTATAGGTTTAATAGATTTTTTAAATATATTAAGTTATGTTGTCCCGGGGATCTCAGTTTTCAGTTAAACAAAGTCGTGTCAAATTGTTAGATTTTCTCAAACGAGTTTAATGCGGTATTCACTACATAGTTTATACAATTAAGAGAGAATGTTAAGGTTGTGCTGTGTGCAACCCTGCACAGGACAGCCAGGTAAAAGCATTGATGAATGAACATATGACTAGGCACAGGGATTTGATGTTAGGTTTGCATGCCAGAAGTCATCTTACTTTAATTCCACCTTAGACAGATGAAGCAAGGTTAGCCCCAAGTGCCCATGCCAAGTGTTTGATAGGGTGCCAAAAGTTGACCCAAGGGTTCTTCAGAGGAGAATGCAGTCTGTTCTTAAAAAAAAACAGTTTGGTGTTTACTGAAGTCATGTATTTGGTGAGAAGTCAACCCAGCCATGTTTAGTGCATTAACAGGCTATAGTCAGTTCATATTCACTAATGAATTTGGTCTTGGATTTCATTCAAAAAGTCTTAAATTGACTTTGATGAAATTTATACTCCTCCATTATGTATGCAGATGCCAGAATGGAGTGTTGTGAAGTGGAGCCACGCTACACAATTGAACAGATCGACCTCTTGCAGCGTCTGCGTCTATCCGGCATGACCAAACCTCAGATCATCCATGCGTTGGAGTCCCTGGAGAGGCTCAACCCAGACCACCGCCCGTCGCACTGTGACTCTCACCCAGCCCCATCCAACAACACGCCTACCACAGTTGCTCCAGCCCCATCCTCATCTTCGTCTTCCTCCTCCTCGCTCTCCCTGGCTTCTGCTACCACGCAGACCTCTGGCCTGGATGGTGCTGCACTGTCCCCCAGCAATAGCTATGAGGCCTCGCCTCCACCCCTCTACCCTTCTAGTGTGGCAGTTCAACGGGCATTCAGCTACGACATGATGGGAGAGGAGGAGTGGGACCTGGAGGAGAAGGTGGAGGAGTACATGAGGTGAGAATGGAAAGGGGAGGAAGGTGGTGCTTAGTTTTAACAGAGACATGGAGGAGAATTAGTGCTGGGTGAGAATGAGCTGAAAAGCAAGACTAAAAGAACAGGAGAGATAAAGATGGGCTGTGCAGGCTTGTACTCCAGATTTGTAGTGGAGTTAATTCAGGTCAGGTGCATAGGGATGTGCTCAAAAAGGAGAAGCATCAGTGAATGTGGGTAGTCAGAGCAAAGGCTGGTATTTTAACCAAAGTGCAATGGTTCTGATGTGTGTTGCTTTTACAGGAGAGACAGCAACCTGGTGAAAGAAGAGATCAAAACCTTCCTCAACAATCGCAGGATTTCTCAGGCAATCGTTGGCCAAGTTACAGGTTCTGTGCTATTTTTACAAGCTGTTTTGTTGCAACTTATTAAAAAGCCATAATATAATAATAATAATAGTAATTGGACTGAGGAACAGATTAAAACTTGTCTTTAAGATGAAATGCCTTGCCAGCTAAACATGCGATGATTCCAGTTTCTCAACTGTGAGAGTTTCCTGTTTTTCTCAGTTCTTCTATAATTTCAAATAGAATATCTCTGCCAGTAGACAAAACAAGCAACAGTAGGGGCAGAGACACACCAAGCCAACAGTCAGCCGTCGGCCGCCTTGTGGCCATCAGTGAGCATCTGTTGGGGGCTCGTCTTCCCAGTGTGTCCCGCACCGTTGACACTAGTTGGACCCTGTCGGCAGCTTTTCGGCCAATTCAGCATGTTGAATTGGCATCAGCCCATTGAGCCTCATTGGTGAGAGAGACCACTCTGGTTGGCTGTTTAGCTTAGTTAATCAATGCACGAGAAGAGAACGGGTCAGGAAAGCCCCTTCAGCCTGTTGCTGTAGTATCCTTGATTTCACCCTTGTTGTGTCGTTTGTCCTTATTTTTGCCTCCACAACCGCCTTTCTTCCTCCACAACCAAAGGACCAAGGGCAGAGAACGGCAGTGTCACTTGCAACTTCTTATCAGGCAATTCTCATTGCCTGATATAAACAGCAGCTGTGTTGAATGAGAGGTGCTTTGTTTATAGTTTATACTTCCACGTTCTAGCTGTTCTTCTTTCCCTTTCTAAATGGCAAGTACAGATACTGCCACCTGCTGGTAGGGGCAGTTATTTCTGTCACGCAGGCACAGAAAGACAAGCTGGTTGGCTGTTGGCTGTAGTCTGTGTGGTGTGTTCAGGTGTCACTCTTTCAACCTGACTGGCCCAGACAAAGGCGACATGAGGCGACACAGCAGTCGGCTTTTGTCGCTGCTAGTTCTTTCACATCAGCTTGGTATGTCTCTGTCCTAAGATGTTTCATATTGTTTTCCAGACATTTCTAAATTAAAAGGTTATTCAACCAAAAAAAAAAAGACAGAAAAAATTACAGTGATATAATAATAGTTACAGCCTGAGATTTAACACAAAATGCTAATATTGTATTATGTTGCATTTCAACATAATAAAGTTCACATGTTCACATCAGTAAGCTTTTTCTCATCTTCCCTGGTATTGCACCAAATCACATGTCTTTAATGAAAATACTGATAATGAGAGTGCTCCATTAGCTTAACAGGAGTATTTCAGGGCTGGCTCATAGCCAGTGCATCATGAACTAAATTATTGTCTTTGTGTTACAATAACACATCTTGCCTCGTGCATACAGGTATCAGCCAGAGCTACATCTCCCAGTGGTTGCTGCAGCAAGGCCTGGAGATGAGTGACTCCAAACGCAGAGCTTTTTACCGTTGGTACCTGCTGGAGAAGAATAACCCAGGTGAGACACAGGGTGAGGCTTGTAGACTTAGACTGAGTATAGGGGAGCTTCTCATAGAGTACAAGATTTGACTTTTAAAGACCAGAGGACATAAGGTACAGGAAGACTGATCATGAACCACTGTAGATCAGAGCCTGAAGGTTGAATGACAGGTTCATAATAAGAGATTAGAGATAAGATCATGGAGGAAGGCAGGCTTGTGTTATTAAAAAGGGAATGTTTATGTTTCGTGAATGTGATGTGCTGCCTGCTGACCTTCCCCTTCCATCTGTCTTCCGCTTTACGACCACCCTCTTGCATGGTAAACCCTTTAAATCCTCACAGTAACTCCATTCTGGTCCTTGAGGGCTATGAGGTCAGGAAAGGACAGGAGACAAATCTATAATTTCTCAAGATAGACAAATGATAAAGGTATAGCTGTCACAGGAGATGCTAATCAATAATGTTAAGGCTTCTGGCTTGGAAATGAAATTTTAGTGGGTGAATGCAGTTTGTCTGTCCAGGGTAGTGTAACACCTTCCCTTGCTGTTGACTTCTCCATGTCCTAGAATACAGGGAAACGGTGACGTAAAAATGTGATCTGGGTTTAATCAGCTGTAGCATACCAAGTGAAGAGCCACTAAAGATGCTGGCAGCTTTTACTGGTTTGTTTTCAGACAGCATGCATTCACAGTAAATGATGAGGAAAAGTAACTTTTTTACATTATCAGGTCCACAAAACAAACAAAACTGCTGATGGACCATCTGCTGTCCCTGCTGTCTCCCTTTATATTATACCTTTATGTTTTTGTCCACCCACCCAAGCTTTACCTTAGCTCCTTTGTAGTTCTCAGCCCTGATGCTGGAGGTACTCTGGTGCTGGTTTTCATTCCTACATGGCTAACAAACAGGCTATTAACAGTGGTACTAACAACTATTTTTCTCAGTGGCCAAAGTGCTTTGCTTCTGATATAGGCTCCTATTGACCTGCCCATTATGAATCTCGACAGAATCAGTCAATCTGACTTCAAATTGGCAGGCACACTGGAATACATGATAAAACAAAGGTTTCTTTGAATTCATGACTGAAAATGACCAGGCAGGTCTACAGGAGTATATCAGTTAACCCCGTTAACTCTCAATCTCTAATGACATTAGCCAAACCTGGTATCTATAACTAATCCGTGGCTGTGGCCTGACCATTGGTTTTGTCCCGACTGAAGGGCTGAGGTGGAGTGAAAGCCAGCACAGCGTGAGTCCCATGCCCAGGGCCAGGGGAGGGGAGAGAGACGGGACGGTAGCAGGGGCAAGTGGCAGCCTCCCCAACATCCTCCCCAACCCCAACACCAACCTCAACCCCAACCCAGTGTGGAGCAGGCAGAGAGAGCTGCTGATGCACTTGCTGCCATGGTACACTGCTGCCGCTGCAGCCACCCAGGCCCAGCCAGGTAACCACGCCTCCCTGTGCTGGCCTCAGCAGCTCGCCACAGGAGGCGCTCGCCACAGGAGGTGCTCGCCACACGAGGCGGCCTTCATGGCATTAAACCCATAGCCAGCCTGTCAACTTGGGATACATGTCAACAGTCTCACATGGCAGACAAAAACTAGAGGATTGCACATGTAAAACTAAAAATGAAGCGCCTCAATGCTCTTGACTTTGCTGTAGTATCAACAGCCTGTTGCACCGGTTGTGTGGAAGTTTACATGGAGATTGTCTGAAAGGTGCCCTATAGCTTAGTGAAAACAGCTTGCATCAATTTCAAATTGGGATGTAAGAAACGGCTTATTCTGGGCAGGTGTAAGCCATTTCTTATTAACTGTTTCCATGGCGATACTAGAAGAGCCAGAGGAAATGTATATTTGCTTACACAAGGAGCGCAAGCCCTGTGACTGACTACAACCGTTAACACACCTGATGAAGCAGACATCGGCACTTGTGTTGTACAGTTACAGTTGTGGAACCGATGGCAGTACACAAGGCAAGAAGTAAGAGGTTTTGCTGCATTCGCTTGAGATGCCGCTGGCACCACTTGGTTGCTTTGTTTTAGCAGAACTTTACACACTTATTACTGTGGTAACAGACACCCTCTGCCAGATGTCAGCTAGTTGACACGTGACAGCATAAACATTCTATTTTAGGTCAGTGTCTTCTCTTTCATATTACCTGGTTAATGCTTAAAAACTGATAATGTAATCAGAAATTGTGAATTAGAAGGAAGCGTGAAACTGGTAACAGTGTAGCAGTTATTGTTGACTTGACATAACATTAAATGTCTGTTCAGCCGGTGCAACAGTCAGCTGGAGTCTAAACACTTTCACTGTCATCTTAGTTTACAGAAGCTTACAGTACTTACATTTTTAAATGTGCTTTCTTCTTCAGGTGCTACTTTATCGATGCGGTCACTGGTGAAGGAGGAACCCGACTGGAGGACGGGGATCATGGCAGGCGACAGAGCAGGGATAATGGGTGGGCCTCTGAGGCTGCGCAGAGGAAGCAGGTTCACTTGGAGGAAGGAGTGTCAGTCGATCATGGAGAGGTGTGTGAGTCTGATCAGATGTATTTTACAAAAGGAGACAAGTGCTGTGTTCATGTCATGGGACAATGGTAGGAAATGGAAATTCTACTTGGGGACTCCAGTTGTCATTTATTATTCGATTCGTTTTTGTCTGGTTTTCATTGCAGTGTGCTTGTGATCAAATTTACCAGGGCAAGACAGGATCTTTAGTTTACAGTTCAATGTTTGGTTTGCTGTGAAAGGCAGCCTTGAATGTGCTTGAAAGTTCAAGTGTCAACTCCTCAGGATTGTTAGTCCCATATGCTAGAAATGCAGCATTGCTTGAGGTAAGAGTGAATATTAAAGCCTTGCTGTTGTGAGTTCTTCCTTTCAGTGCAGAGCAGAGCCATTCGGTTTATTGTGCCGTTTTTTAGATGCATTATGTCCCTGCTTTTTGTAGCCTATTTGTCTGAGACATTCACTCAGAAGGATACTGAGAAAGAGCAGTAGACATTCCTCTACAGTCCTACCCGCTGTGTGCAATTGATTTCTCAATTACATCGTTGCTGTAAGTATAGGGTGCAGTCTGGCCACTAATGGTAATAAGACCACACAGGCACTCAGACAACACTCACCAGCACTGCCCCCAGGATTACGCAATTCTACTGCAGTGCTGATCCTTCTGAGCTAGTTAAGACCCAAGGACAATATAATAGAGGTGAAGATGGTGTATGTGTGTGTGTGTGTGTGTGAGAGAGAGTGAGAGGGAGAGAGAGCGAGAGACAGAGTGGACAGGATAGGGCAACTCCAAGGGTGAGAGGATGAGAGGGCTAGAATTGATCCCTGTGTGTTTTGTAATGTGAGCTAATGATCCTTTTTCAGCTTTGGAAGAATATAAAAAAGTAAGACATGAGTAAGGAAAATTTATAGAGGAAAAAGAAAAACATCTTTACATGGACACTGCACATTACATTTCTGATTTTACCAGAGCTTGTACAAATATTGTCCTTTGTCTCCTCCAGTGCAATAGAAAGACTAAAAGTTGATGAGGTGAATATTAGGGTGTAACTACTGGTGCTGTCTTCTAATAAATGTGGAGCCTAGGATGCAGTTTGATTTACAGTGGCTGTCTCCAATACTGTGGATGTTTATCTCTTACAGTTACTTCATGGAGAACCAGTATCCAGATGAAGCAAAACGAGAGGAGATTGCCAACGCCTGCAACTCCGTCATTCAGAAACCAGGTACTAATGGTGGTTTTAACTGTATTAAAGTCTGACAAGACAGTTTAAGCTGGAAAAATGGTGTTTTACCTGTAGTAACTCATTTCCCAACTCATTATTTGTGCCTTTTCTTTTGAAAGTTGGTGTCTGCAAATCACTGAAAATAGTAATAATACATTCTTTATTATTAGAAAATATGTTGAAAATGTTTTTATCAACTTGATGACATATGATTTCTGTTGCGTTGCTGACGTATTTTTTTGTATGTTCCCCAGGGTGTAAACTGTCGGAGTTTGAGCGTGTGACTGCGCTGAAGGTTTATAACTGGTTTGCCAACCGTCGTAAGGAGATGAAGAGGAGAGCCAATATTGGTGAGGGCCTGGTAATTTACCTGATATAACATGGATGTCTAGGAAGAAGCTTATCTGCGGACACATGACAATGTATTTTCAAAAGTATTCTGTGTGGCCACATTATTAGGTACATTCACTACAACAGATGCACCTTAAATTCTACTTTTAAAAAGTTTATCCATTTTTGTTGATGTCAGAAATGTCTACATTCAAATATATGTTTATTACTGGATCCATGATTAAAAGGTGGTTTTCTGCACTACATTATATTGAGAGTCGCTACTGATATTTTTTGTTCTCCCTGTTGGACACTAGGGGTGCAGAGTTTAAGAAACGCCTCCCAGTAGAGTATCGTAGCAGTGAGTCCTAAAACCCAGTCAGCATTTTTGCACTTCTCCCTTAAGTCAGTGGGTTTTTTTGAATGGATTTTTGCTTAGATGCTTGAAATATGTTCTGTGGTTAACACAAGGTCAATAAATGTTCATGTTTTGTGCTACAATATAAAATGCACCAGTAAATACCCCCCTCTTGATTTTTAATGCCTTTAAATGTCTTTAAAAAGGTGGTCATTAGCAAGTGGTCAAATGAGACTACAGAGGTTGTCTGGGGTATTACACATCATCACAGAGACTCATCTACTCTAGTCTGCCTTTACAGCCTTGTTATTGTTAAACTCGTGCACTTGCAAACTCCTCTGAGAGCCGTGATCACTAGCTAGAGCTGGCCACGCTAAGAGGAAAGGGTTTTGTAGAAGTAGTTTGTGGGGTGACAGTGGTGCGGTGAGTAGAGCACTCGTCTCCCAGCCGGAAGTTGAAGGTTTGAATCTTGGTGCCTGCACTACACATGTCGAAGTGTCCTTGGGCTGAACCCCCAAGTTGTCCATGATGGTGGCGTGTAAACACGCAGTGGCCCGGGGCCCTCAGCTCCAAACAAAATTTTGTTGTACGTGTTACAGTGACAATAAAATAAAGCTTCTTCTTTGTCACAGAGCTTATTTTTCACAAGAATCCAAAAGCCTATGGAAAAATCCCATTGGCTTTTTGTCTAGGGAACCAGGGTGATGCTAACTTCCGGGTCGGCCTACAAAAAACCCGTGATCCCCGCAGTACTCTATGTAATGCACCTTGAGCACAGCACGATCACTAACTGTGACTTCAGTGCTAAAGCAAATAACTGAATTAACTCCTCTGTGACAGTGGCAACAAAACTTAATAGGCTTTATAAAAGCAGACTTTGTGGTAGAACAGCTGCATTGGAAAGCATTTGATTGTACAGGTGTACCCAATAAAGTGACCACAGAGTGTGTGTGCTTCTGTGTTTTCAATCTCTACTTTTCTGTGTAACACAACTAGAAGCTGCCATTTTGGAAAGCCATGGAATTGAGGTGCCAAGCCCAAACTGCCACTCAAACGGTGAGGAGGGAGAGATGCAGGAGTTTGCCAATCAGATGAACCACCGATTCTCAGAACAAGTAAGTCAATGTAGAGCCGCTTAACCCACTACTGAGGAAGAAACACAAACAGCTAGTAGTAAGAGCTGAAGGCCTTGATTGTAAGAGTCACCGTCAAGCACTGATCACCTGATGCTGATTCTGCTGAATAAAAGAAAGAAAACTTTGATGTAATTTTTGTCGTACAATATGCCATTGTGTGAAACAAAAACAATCAGATGATCTGCCATGTCAACATTTTCGGTGACATTCCAACAAACTGCGTTGTCAGATGTGATTGCTGGCAAAACATGACAAAAATGGCCTTGAAATGGTTCGTTGACAGGATTTTTCTTTAAAACATATTACTTTTGTGAAAAAAAATTGCAGTGTATAACTGTGTTCCACTTCGGTATGTCATAAGCTCCGCTAGTGAGACTGCAGACACAAAAGTGACCCTGACAGTAGTGCACATAAACAGAAAGCGGCTATAATAAATGTTATGCATGTCTTTGATCATCTGTAAATTGGAATGTGTGCCATGAGAAAGGTCAGTCAGTAGTCATAACACAAAGAATTGCATTTCTGTTGGAAGCCTCTTGAGAGTATGCTTAAAAGTGTCTGCCCAGTGTGTAACTGGCAACTCCACACAATGTGTTTTAGCCAAGTCAGATGTTGGTGGTCATAAGAGCCAGAGTTTCTGCATTGAGAACACATTGAGAAATTGCCAAAATTCAGACGGGCAGCAGTAGAAACCTGGGCCAGCTGTTAACTGGTCACAGCAGGCAGAGACATACAGTAACGATGTAAAGCTTCAGTAGCCGCTTCACTAACAAGCTGATGAAACTGAAAGTTATGGTCAGGACCTTAAGACCCTCTGAGACCTTTAAACATTCTAAGCTGCTGTCTTGGCATGAAACAGCCCACTTAATACCAGCGGGACATACATAAAGGATAATAAAATCTATATATCAAATCAAATCAAATTTTATTTGTATAGC